CCACCACCAAAGGTTGGGTGAAGGACGTGGCCACCACCCCTTTGGGGGTGACATCCACAGCACCGGGGAGTGACGGGGTGGGACAGAGGTGACAGGGAGGTGACAGGGAGGTGACAGGGAGGTGACAGGGAGGTGACACTCACCCTCCCAGGGGCAGCCGTAGAGCTCGAGGCGCAGGCAGACGCTCATGGCGCGCGGTGCCCGCGGGTACACCCGGAGCGCCCGGGCCACCGGCGCCGGCGCCAGATCCTTCAGCACCACCCCCTCGGGGTCCTCATTGCCACCGATCACCTGCGGTGACACCGTTGGGACCCCAGGTGTCCCCAAGGTGTCCCCGAAGTCCCAGGTTGCTCCATTCCCCCCAACACCTCTGATGTCCCCAAGGTCTCTCCGATCACCTCAATGTCCCCAAATCCCCTCAATGTCCCCAAATCCCCTCAATGTCCTCAATGTCCCCAAATCCCCCCAAATGTCCCAGTCCTCCCAGTCCCCAGATCCCTTCAATGTCCCCAAATCCCCTCAACGTCCCCAATGTCCCCAAATCCCATCAACGTCCCCAACCTTCTCAAATTACCCCAAATCCCCCCGATGTCCCCAGCCCCCCTGATGTCCCCAATGTCCCCAAATCCCATCAACGTCCCTAAATCCCCCCGACGTCCCCAATGTCCCCTAAATCCCGTCAATGTCCCCAAATCCCTCCGAATGACCCCAAATCCCTCCGACGTCCCCAACCCCCTCCGATGTCCCCAATGTCCCCAAATCCCATCAACGTCCCCAAATCCCCCCGACGTCCCCAACCCCTCCTGATGTCCCCGATGTCCCCAAGGCCACCTCGGCTCCCCAGCGGTCCCTCCAGCGCAGCCAGCGGCGCCGGTCGCGGCTGTAACGCAGCCGGTACTGGTGAGCGAACTCGCGGCCGTGTCCCCCCGCGTGGCGTCCCTGTGTCCCCACCAGCGTCACCACGTGCAGCCGGCCCAGGTCAACCTCCAGGAACTCCTGCTCGGCCGGGAACACCGGCCCGGCCGGACACCAGGCGCCGTCACCGTCACTGCGGCCCAGCCTGGGGACATCGGGGACATTCGGGGGCATTTGGGGACATTTGGGGACATTTGGGGACATTTGGGGACATTCGGGGACATTTGAGGGCATTTGGGGACATTTGGGGACATTTGGGGACGTTTGGGGACATTTTGGGGACACCCAGGGGACACCGGCCCGGCCGGACACCAGGCGCCGTCACCGTCACT